CCGACAGTGACTCAATTCGCTTTTGCGAAGAGTCTCGCTACATATATATATATATATATATATATATATATATATATATATATATATATATATATATATATATATATAGTCGGATGTCTAATCACACTGATGAGCTGCGAAACTGTCTGTCTGTGGATTACTGACTTTCTCTTTCTCTCTCTCTCTCTCTCTCTCTCTATATATATATATATATATATATATATATTTTAAGACCATCGAATGTTTTTTAAATATTTATTATTTTATTCTGGCATATTCTCACTGACTAATGTAATACCGATTATCATTTGAAGATTTTTTAATCAATATATATTAAGTCATACCAAGCTTCTCTCTGTCAGTAGAAGGAGTGCTTGGTCGGTTTAAAGGTAATTAGATTTTTATGTTATATTTTTTGTTTGCATATAACATCGTCTGGGGTTGTATATATTTTTTCCTTCTTCATTTCGATCTATTTTCTGGTTCGAGTTCATATATCTTTACACTTTCTTACTGCTTCTACTCTACATCGATACTCAATATCAGAACTGGATTCGGTTTTCCTCCGTAAATCGTTGAAGGTCTCTTGATTCAATTCTTTCTTAAAATATAGGCCGGTTAACTATGGATCACGTGCAGGGCGATTTGCTATATGATTCAAAACCCTTTCAAACCCTTCCACAGAAAGCATTACCACCAGACGCCAGACTCTAACATTGGCATCTATTCCGATTGGAATCCGCTGGCTAAAAAATCAACAACACCCATAGCAAGCAAATAAACCAACTTGTCATTTATTAGAGTACTTGTTCCGTGTCCATCTTTCCAAGGAAAATTCGCTATAATTTTACACGTTCATGAGATATGTTTTGCTTCTTTTGTCCAAGTTTTTAAGTCTGCCCAAACAGCGGTGTTTCACTCGTTTCCTTTATAAGGATTCGTGTTTTAAATCTGAGAGGTTTTGCATTATCAACACAAGCCACAATACCAATACAACATCAACATAATGTCTGCTACAAACTTCTTATTCTTCCATGCGATGTGTCCCTTCAGGACGTGGCCGAACGTGGCTCTTCACATTTTCCTGTTGTTTGTAGGTTTTAGTAACTATTGTTTTTTTTTTCTTTTAATATCTCTCCTTAATCCCTGTTCTGCCAACCATTTACATTAGCTTGTTAAGTAGGCTATGTGCTGCTTTCATCTGTACCTCTTGCCTTCGATATATCTCGTGGGTGACAAATTTTCCAAGTCCTCTTTCCTAATTTCGTGTCCTCGAGATTTCAGTTATCACTTTCTTTTTGTTTCGATTCTCTCTAAAACTTCGCCATCTCCCAAATGTTCAATCTATGGTATTCACAGGCATCCTTCAGTTTACCCAAGTCTTTTTTCGGTCCTAATATTTCAACTGTCTCTTTCTGATGTTAAGTATAAGCGTTCTTTTTGTTTCCATTTTCTCTAACACATCATCATTGCTCACATGTTCTGTCCATTTTATTCTTATATTCAGTAGAACCACATTTCTGTTGCTTTAGATCCCTTCTTCATCTGTGAAGAGATTGTCCAGTATTCACTATCATATAGAAGGACCGATATTGCATAAGTAAAAGTACTCTTTTCTTTCTTTCTATCTAGGCTTCCGTTTCTTAATGCTTTTTGTGAGGCAACTTCCGCTATCGAAATATGTAACTGTAAAAGCAATAAACTGTTGTGTAGAAGCCGACATTCTTAATTACTATATATGAATTGGCCATTTCAGTCTAGACGTTAATAAATAGATAATAGTTAATAATAGATATTTATAAACTATTCCGTAAATTTTACAAGTATTTGATTAGCACATAAAAAAGAACACTTTAAAAGTTCGTTGCATATTTATAGAATAAGAGGTAATTTATTAGACGCAACAACGTAGGGCAAGAAATAAAAGCTAGTTTTGTATAAAATTTATACTGTAGTCGACGAATGCCTAAAAAGAAGTAATCGTGTGCTAGATCAAATATAAAGCAAATGTTTTATCGGTTTTAGTATTAAACCCAAAGGGTAACAAAATGTTGAACGGTTTTATTCATTTAATCATTATAATTCCAATATTTCATTTATTTTTCAATGCGTCCTCCTGATATTATAAACTTTTGTCCTTGATTTTATATTCGATATTATAACCTGCTATTTTGCACATTCGGCAAAACTCTTTCAAAATTTAATCATTTAGGATCTTCAAATATCTACCTACCATTTTCTACGTTTGACATAGCTGTTCGTCAAAATTCCGTTCGTTCGACATTAAGGAACTTCAAATGTACGTTCGTCGTAACAACTTGTCAAAATTTCGTCCGTTAGTCATTGAGGACCTTCAAATATAGTTTCCAAATAACTACCTACCATTTTGTATGTCTGATATGGCTGCTCGTCAAAATTCCGTTCGTTCGACATTAAGGAACTTCAAATGTACGCTCGTCGTAACAACTTGTCAAAATTTCGTCCGTTAGTCATTGAGGACCTTCAAATATAGTTTCCAAATAACTACCTACCATTTTGTATGTCTGATATGGCTGCTCGTCAAAATTCCGTTCGTTCGACATTAAGGAACTTCAAATGTACGTTCGTCGTAACAACTTGTCAAAATTTCGTCCGTTAGTTTTTTTACCCTGTACATTCGATATTGCATTTAATATTTCATGCATCCAGCCATACAAGGTATCGATATAATGGCCTTTTGTCATTTTTCTTCGGTCGATATTGTCGCATGTCGTTTCTCAAGTTCATTATAATAGGGTTGCCAATTTTGTCCGTTACTAATTTAGGCACTTCAATTATATGTTCGATATTGGAGACTATTTTGTATTTTTCAACATAATGGCTTGTCAACATTTCGTCCGTTAGTTATTAAGGTCATTCAAAAGTACGTTCGGCATTATGGTCTTTCAAAATATCGTCCTTTCCACATTATCGCCTGTCTATCTGATATGAATTTCTCTAGTATCACTTCACTTGTCGGTATTGTTTCTATCGTAATCTGGTCGACGAACAGCATACGAAATTAGATGATACATAGAATTCAACAGTCTTTATTTTGCTCCCAACCAATTTTTCCTGTTACTTAATTATTATTTAATTTTTGGAAAGCATCTTTCGTTAGTGATATGCGAACTTCTGTTTTCTGTGGAACATTTTCCGTAGTGTGTTAATACATTACAGTTAAATTTCTGTATTTACATTAGTCGGACTATTGTCCTCATCTTTGTCGCCATATTTGTCACAACGTTTCGGCCGTTGTACGCTCCGGCCTTCTTCAGGTGGTTGGAATTTCGAACTGAACCCTTTATTTCGCTCACTGGGGTAGACTGTTCTAGTTGCACGTGCCATGTTTGATGGATGTCAGTTATCAGTTTTCTCCTGCTAATTTTCCCTCTGAAAGTTCTCCACTGCCTTAACCAGGAATTGAACTCACCTTCTTCCTTGACACATGGCACAGTGGATAAAGGCGTTGGTTAGATCCAGTGACAGACCCAAAGAAGGTGAGTTCAATACCTGGTTAAGGCAGTGGGGAACTTTCAGAGGGAAAATTAGCAGGAGATAACTGATAACTGACATCCATCAAACATGGCACGTCGAACTAGAACAGTCTACCCCAGTGATCGAAATAAAGGGTTATGTTCGAAATTCCAACCACCTGAAGAAGGCCGGAGCGTACAACGGCCGAAACGTTGTGACAAATATGGCGACAAAGATGAGGACAATAGTCCGACTAATGTAAATACTGTACATAATACCTCATCTCAGAAATATAAACAGTTAAATTTCTCTACTGACTGCATTTGATGTCCTCAATATGTAGCTCATAACATTGACTGACTCTTTTGCTGACAACCTTGCATTCTGTTTACTGTTAAAAAACGTTTTTCCTTGCTTTTCTTTACTACCTTAGCTTTTATTTCTCTTAGTTTCCCTTTTGGGTTTCCATAAAATAAACTGATATATTAAAATGGCATCAACGCAGATTAAATTATTCTAATTAGGGATCAGAAGCAATCAAGATTCACGAGTAGTGACTAAAGAATAATTTATTATAACTTTCCCCCAATACAATGCTTGAGAGCCACTCAATGTAAACAGTTACTGTTAAAGTGTTATAAAGAATGTGATGGTAGGAGATGAAGGGTATAAACATAATTAAAGATTAAACCTTGGCATGAAGAGGTTACGATTGTAGTCTTCAGGGAAGTGACTACGTGGGAATCTGTTCCACAGTTGGTTGGATCGGGGGGGGATTTCTTCCTTACATTCGGAATACGAAGCAAATGAAGGTCATACAATTCCGTAGGAGTGGCAGAACGGCACCCTCGTTGCAAATATTTGAACTAGTGAAATTAAAGCTCATTTGAGCATAAAACATAACTGGTTATGTATAACTTGAGGACTTGTGCAGTATTATACACCAATAAAAGAACTTCACATTGTGGATCAAGCAGAAGTGAGGTTGGTCCATAGCTATGATTTCGCGCAAGTAAGTTTAGTAAATACTGTGATTCGATGCCCGTATCTGTGTCCGTCGGCTCTACGAGAATAAACTTGTAAATACAAATACGCCCAATTGAACACTCTGGAGGAAAGTTCAAAATATCTTACCACAATCTGTATTTAACGACAGCAAGTTTCATATTTCTATTGATTGATCGATACTTTAACGAAACGTAAGCACAAATCCAATAGAATTAAAAAGTGAATCATTGAGATTTAGTAAAAAGTAAGAAAAAACGATATGCTTCCAATGAAGATTCTTAGTGAAAATTATACATTACTAGCTATTTAAATAACATTAAAGCGAGGCTGGTCAGTACCTAGGGAATACCGGGCGCTGTAAGCTAGGATATGTGGTTGGTGTAATGGATAAGGACTCGGAATTGTTAATCAGAGTGCCGAGTTCAAATTCCTGTTGGATTCGATATATCCACAAGCGCGCAAATATCCTTGGGGGAGGTATGACTCCACCTCTTCTCCATATCACGTTGAAACATCGGTTTCCGTACGATTACCGAAGTTAAACAACGTCGAGCCTGGCCAGTACTTAGATGGGTGACCGCTTGGGAATAGCAGGTACTGTAAGCTTCGATCTGTGGGTGGCGTAATGGATAATGACTCACAGTTCTTTATTGGAAAGCAGAGTTTAATTATTAAGACTTGTACCACTAAACCATTATTATCTAAAAAAAGAATTCTTATTATTTAAAAAAATATATTTTCTGAGTTTAGATAACCTGCATAGAGTTGATAATCTGTTGAAAACGAATCAATTAATTATAATACCACAGTAAAGATTTGTTAACATGTTCACCTCCAGAAGTTAATTACGAAATGTCGACTTCAAGCACAAACTTCATAATAGCAAACTCAGGTAATAAAAACAAATTTGAGTTGATTTATAGCTTCCAATAAAGTCTTAACATCGTTTTCACACTCAACGTATGACTTCAGATAAACTCGTTGTTGGCGCAAACAGATTAAGATTTTATGAGAAAATACCAAGCACTAGATAACTCGCAGTCGACACTCGTAATTCAATGTCATAATAAAAAAAAATACTGCCAACCACGTGTATAAATGGAACAGTAATAATGGTTATACACAAGGTGTCCACACAAAGATTGCCATAAGTTAAAACGTGAATATCTAAGTAACTACATGTTCCAAGCAAACAAAATTATCATGTTGAATAATAAAAGATTTATCAAAATCTGAACAAGATATTGAAAGTGATACATATTTTATAACCTATTTTATTCACAAAGGTTTACAAATGTTCAAAATGCACACCACCTGCGACACATCAATTCAACCGTCCAGCTCCTGTCAAACACGCTGTAGTGTTTCTTGTGTAACATTCTTCAGTGCCTCAGTTATTCTTTGCTGAAGTTTCTCTAGGCTTATAGGAAGTGGAGGGATATAGATCTGTCCTTTCACATAGCCCCCCATAAAAAAGACACAAGGTGTCAAGCCAGGTGACAAGCTGCTCGGCCCGGAGGCTATGATCAAAGTGTAGTACGCTGTCTTGTGAGCTTCCGAGTCGGCGTCTGTCGAACTCTCTGCATTAGCAGGGAGGAACCCGGACGAAGCTTTGCCGAAAGGCAAGGTTTCGTTCGGGGAGGTAGACAGGGCCTGAATCCGTCTAGGCGGGTTCAAAAAAGACTATATTTTTGGCCGAGCCTACGGGCTCGGAGATACCCACATTAAACCGGCCTTGTGCCACATTCTATCCTCGTGGGTGTCATTGATAAATACTAAGCCAGGTGAACATGGTGGCCATTTCAACAGCAAATTGTCATTATCATTGTCACGTCCGATCTGTCTTCCTGGTAGATTCTCATTGAGATAAGCCCTTACAGTCAACTTAGTTTTTATACATTTTGTTAAAATTTGAAATTATTTGAGCCTAAATTGTCTATATTATTAGACAACGAAATGTTGTCAATTTTTTTTTTTTTTAGGTGGGGAGGGAGAACATTGTTCATCATGCCCCGCCATAAATTAGCTATCTGTGCTTTTCTTATAAATACTTTCATGGTAATTGTTCGTGGGATCTCTTCGTCATGGCATGTACACTTAATGAATTTAGGTGTATTACTAGATTGGCGGTAAGGTCTCATCAATTCACAGTTAAATTAACCAGATGTAACCATAAGTTCTATGCTAACATTTTCTTTTCTTACGCGTCTCGCTTGTGATACGGTTTTCCAGCCATCTTTGATTTTCAAGTATGTAAATGCATCGTCAATCGTTATCTAATGTTTTTTTTATTTCTCTTCTATTGTTCTCGCTCCTTCATAATGTTTCTCTTTTTTTCTTATACTTTCACACTCAGTAACTCTTTGTGTCTTAGTGGCTTTACTACCTGGCATGGGGAAATATGATTAAAAAAATAACTACAAAGGATAGGAAGTTGTGGGTGACCATGATCACCGACGTCCTGATTGGACACAGTGCATAAAGTCCGTAGCAAGATTTCTTGCGAAATGACTACGCTGAAAGTGTTGAGAATTCAACTAGAAACAAGTCCAATATATTTCTTAAGATGTCATGTCTTTCAAAAACAATACAAAAAACGGAATCTGCGAAGAAACCTTTTTTTTTTTTTAAAAAAAAAAAACAAAACAAAATTGTTTATTAAAATAGAAATATTTTCTCCTGTGTATTCAAACTATCGTTATCGTTAAAGGAAACAATTATTTCTAGGATATTTTTTTTTAAACCCACGGAAGACAGGAAAGCCATTAAATTACAAGCGGTTACAGAGTTTGGAAGAATTAGGAACAGAAGCATTAATAATCAGGGGAAAGAGAAAAGGGTAACCAGGAGGAGAGTAGATTTGCATTTAAATTTTTGCAGTTTTAAAGTTATCTGGAAAGATCTGTATACCAGACCATGTTTCGTGATGTCTAATGCTACACCATGGGCTTCACCGTTTTTATCTAGAACATGACAGACTTTTTCCGTAATTATCCCTATCTATAAAAGGCAGGATGTGTGTCTATGTGTGTGTCTGTGTGTGTGTAACGAATGCACGGCCACAATTTTTGACATATTTGCACCAAAATTTACATGCATATGCTCCAAGTTAGCGGAAAGGCCAAGACCGACTTTGCATTTCCCAACTCCCATCGATAGTGGAAATAATCGATTTTTTCATGCTTCTATGTCAGTTTTCATGTAGTTTGCAGCCATTTTCCACTGGCCAGAGTGAGAGCCTATAGCTGGCTGCCACGAATAGGCAGGAAGATTCTACTGGCCAGCGTAAGAGCCAATAGATGACTGACACAAAAAAAAATCGATATCTGCATTCGTCACAAGTAGGAAAAATTTAAATCTGCATGGCACTTTACTTCAATTGGCTCATTCGCTTGCTTAAACTCAACGTTGATTCTGATTCTGCAGAACTGGGTTGGGTGTGAAAAAGTATTTGTTGTGAACATTCTTTTTTCATTCGGTTTTTCCAGTTACGAGTCCTTTTTTTAAAGCTGATCGTTTTGTGTTTATTTTATTTAGTTCTTTTTTCGTAACAGATTTAATGTTTAGTATAGAGCTTAGAAAAAAATTCGCAGTGTGAGATAGGCAAGAAGTAAGGCATGTAGCAACATCAGCACGGCAAAAGGCACTCCTTTAAAGGCAAGGAAAATGCGCTGTGATGAGAGGTAATGAACCAATTCAGGAGTGATTAGGGATTCTAGGAGTTTCCCCCAAAGTTGTAGAAAGCTAATCGGCTGATAGTTGGAAGGGAAGGACGGTTCACCATAATTCTTAAAAACTGGAACAGCAAATGACGACTTCCATCAGACAGGAAAGCAAGTGTCTTGATAGACTGGTGAGATCTGGTGATGTATCAGGTTATTATTTTTCTTCGGAGCAAATTTTAACACAGAAGCAAAATGAAATATCGTTGTTCGAGAAAATACGAGGAAACAGACAAAAATAGTTAGAAACAAGAAGACAAGTCCTGAGGCTCTATGGTAGTAAATGCTAGACAATTTCCACGCAAACGAAGTAAAAAATGGAGGTAAAAAAATGGAGGTCCACAGAAAGATACTGAGGAATCCATATGTGGGATGCGTAATCAATGAAGAAGTCTTAAAGAAGATGAAAACCAATATAACTCTTATACTCAGAGTTAGAAAGAGACAATTGAATGTTCTTGGGCAGATAATAAGCAGAAAAAATTGATACCGACAGAGCATTTCCAGGGCAGCAGAAAAACAGGAAGGCAGCAGTCCACTTACTTGACAGACAGCAGAACGATTGGCTGGAAGCTTTTTTAAAAACGATAATGCAGCTAAGAGTCAGTGTAGAAGAGAATGAGAAAGACTGTGTTCCCCCTCACTGGAATATGATTGGCTGGTGTCCGTCATAAATACCGAAGGACGTGTAAGAGAGTCAAAAGTCTTAGTCTGAGAGCTAAGTCTATAATGACGCCCATTGGACTATGCCATTCATCTACACTTCTTACCTGCGACTACGACGCGTACCAGTCGATTACTGCTACCGTATTCTACTTGGTTATAGTAGCCAAAACCACTTAGCTACTTCGTTTAAATATATATATATATATATATATATATATATATATATATATATATATATATATATATACTTCATTTCTGTCATGCGGTTAACATTAAATGTTTTTCGTACTGTTCACATCGGTACCTTTTTTTTTTTGCTTTTGTTTTATTAAACAATTCATCAATAATCTATATATATATATATATATATATATATATATATATATATATATATATATATATCAGAAGCACGGATGTATATTAATATAATGGAATATGCGTACACCTGTGTTCCCCCTCACTGGAATATGATTGGTTGGTGTCCCTCATAAATACCGACGGACGTGTAGGAGAGTCAAGAGCCTTAGTCTGAGAGCTAAGGCTATAACGACGCCCATTGAACTACGCCCATTGATCTACACTTCTTACCTGAGACTACGACGCGTACCAGTCGATTACTGCTACCATATTTTACTTGGTTATAGGAGCCCAAACCACTTAGCTCCTTCGTTCAAATATATCCCTTTCCGGAACATATCACTTTATGGAGACGAAAGGACAATAAAAGAACAGGTACAAAAGGCAGAAAATAGCGATTGACTTTGCATTTAAATTTTTGCATGTTGTAGGTAGAAAAACGAGAAATCGGAAGAGAGTTCTACAAAGTAAAGTGACAATAGTTGCTAAGGGATACAATGGATAGGAGGTTGTGGGTAGCCATGATATCCTACATCCTGAAAAGTCACTTTAGGTACAAGAAGAAGTAGGTCGACAAAATTATTACGGCAACGAACTATAGATGTGCATCATATCGATAGAAAGAAATCTCGATGGAGGTGTTGCTTATAATTTGAAAGCAATAAATTTTAACTGAATAGACATATGTAAAAATAGGCTATTCCATTAAAACTACATTTACAATATCGTTAACATTGCAAGATTTTCGGACGAATAAAGCAAATCAGGATGGCTTATCAATGGGACGTTTTTACTTGGAGATTTAAACTGATGAAAAATGTGCCGTAAATTATCCTCGTCTTCCCCTCTTTAAATCCCTTCAACATTCTCCTATCACTCAGCATGAAATTTTGGCTCGTTACGAAAGATAATTCAGCAATGTCTAATAGCATACGTAATAATATATGCATGTGGATATTAGGAAATATATTTACGTGTAAAATAAAGTAATTTCGTTATAGTTATACCAAAATAAACATGTAATTCTATGTATGTATGTATGTATGTATGAATTATCTATCTATCTATCAAATTATGTTCGCCTCGATATTTTTCTTTCATTCTTTCTTTCTTTCTTTCTTACTTTCTTTCTATCTACTAACTCTCTCATTTTATTCGCATCTATTTTTTCATTCTTTCGTTCTTTCTTTCTTTCTTTTTCAATTCTATCTATGTATCTCTATCTATCACAGTTTGTTCATAGTCTTCCACCTGTACATTCCTCTGTTCAGTATATATCCATGTGTGTAAAATTCAGATATAAATACAACATATATATGTAGAAGCACAGTATAAATACTTAGAAAAACTTAGCCGACGGATTTCGTCCTCGGGTGGACATTTGCCTAGATAAAGTGGATCAGAGGATGAAACATGTCGGCTAAGAAAAAAATTACCTTTTGCATTTATTCATATATATATATATATATATATATATATATATGGAGTTTGGTAATTTGTTCATATTTCTGGAAGCTGTTTTGAGTGAGAAATTTTCAGTACACCATTTTATATGTTTGCGTTCTATATTCTTATTTATAAATGCCCTGGCATGATTGACTTCCGTGGCCCGGTATTTTCTTGCTTGAAGCTGTAAGCTCCTCTACATTGGTTCTATTATTCCCAAGACCTTAAAGCTCTGCCATTTATTATGGCATTGAGCACTCATTTTTTCCTGTGTGAAATCATAGGCAAAATCTTTTGGGAGCTGTTTATTCTTATTTCTAATTATATATATATATATATATATATATATATATATATATATATATATATATTAAAAGACATTTTTATGTTTAACGTCAAGAGGATGTTTATGTTTAAATAGATACAAGTTTTTAAGTAAATGCTCTGTTTATAATAAACAGTATTAAATAACATTTACCGGACTGAATTATAAACAGATCATTTACTTAAATACTTGTGTCTATAAAAGAACGTTAAACATAAAATGTCTTTAATAAATAAATTGTCGGACTTTGTCCATTTCTTAATATATATATATATATATATATATATATATATATATATATATATATATATATATATATATAATTAAGTTACGAAGAAGTTGGTAACATTTCAATTTCTAATCCCATTTTTCCTTTCATTTAGTTGTTGGAATTTTTTACCTGATGATCCGGAGTCGTTTAAAAGGATTTTGGTGAAATAAACTATTGTAATGGTACCTTAAAGTGATCTATTTTTGTTTTATATTATATATATATATATATATATATATATATATATATATATATATATATATATTATATATATGTAAAAATTACTTTTTACTCTTAATGGGGCGTCAGCAAACTCAGAGTAATTTGATTCCATTTTGTGTTATTCGTTCTACAGAAGGATACTGAGAATTATCGAAGTCTCAGTATGCTTTTTTTTATAAGAAATAGCACGGAATAATTAATCAACGAAGAATTCTTAAAGAAAATGGCAAGAAAAAGAACAATTCTTTGAATCAGGAAGAGACAGCTGAAACTCATCGGACGCATAATTCATATTTTTTTTGTTTCTTAAATGATATCAGCTTTTACCAATGTTTCTGTGGGGTTGAGTGCGTATAGTTTTGGATGTTTGCATTTTATGCAAGAATGTGCTTAGGGTGTACACATGTGCTTACATCCTGGTTCATTTCTTTTGTCTCCCGGATGTTAGGTACACGCGCCTAATTTTCATTGACACTGTATAAGGTACGTTAACAACTTCTTTCAACTATAATTATTCGGTTACTTTTCATTATAAATTCGGGCAATCTTGTCAACTGATTATTTAAAAAAAAATATTTATAAAATCTCATGAAAGAAACCGTAATAAGAAACGCTAAAAGATAATATTACTAAAAATAACTTTCCTTTTTTTCCTAATATGGAATATTTTTTTTTATATTAAATGATATGAATGGCCGCTATCGAGGCCGACAATAGGTGCAAGAAACTGATATTAATAGGTGCGCTAATCTAGTTGCAACAGAAATGTGGTTCTACAGACGGATGATGAGGATACCATGGATCGAACGTGTGAGCAGCGACGAAGCTTTAGAGAAAATGGAAACAAAAAGGAAACTAATACTTAACATCAACAAGAGATGCCTGAGGCATCTATGGCACATAATAAGGAAGGCGAGTTTGGAAAATCTGATACAAACGGAACAGATAGATGGCAAGAAGGACGGAGGAAAGCAACGAATAACATCCTTGATGAGTAAATGGATGGCGGAACAAGAGAAATAACAGAAAGGCAATGTATTTTAAGAGCTACAAGAGGCAGGGAGTTGTGGAGAGCCATGAACGCCAAAGTCCTGAGAAGACACGGTCCATAAAGAACAACAGTAAGAGAGTTTAACAAAATTCTCACACATCCTCTTGACTTGTTATTTTTTTAATGACAGAATGTCCTCTGTCAAGAATGACAAAAGGTATAAGAGCATGTTCCTGTTAATTTATGGGCAGTAAATATGTTGGAAAATGGTTTTCCAAGCAATCTCTCACGTAATCTTTTCTCTGTCAAACATTAAGGGAAGCCAGAGAGAAATATACCTAGGTGTGTTGGGCTCGCTACGAAAAACATTTTATCAGCGTATGATAGAACATGTATTAGTAAATATATGTGAGGGTCGTCAACATTTTTAAGTCAAAATTTTCACTTTCTTTCTTTTTCACTATCTATCTATCTATCTATCTATCTATCTATCTATCACTTTCATTCTTTTTCAATCATTTATCTATTTCTTTTTCACTATCTATCTATCTATCTATCTATCTATCACTTTCATTTTTTTTCAATCATTTATCTATTTCTTTTTCACTATCTATCTATCTATCTATCTATCTATCTATCTATCTATCTATCTATCACTTTCATTTTTTTTCAATCATTTATCTATTTATTTTTTACTATCTATCTATCTATCTATCTATCTATCTATCACTTTCATTTTTTTTTCAATCATTTATCTATTTCTTTTTCACTATCTATCTATCTATCTATCTATCTATCTATCTATCTATCTATCACTTTCATTTTTTTTCAATCATTTATCTATTTCTTTTTCACTATCTATCTATCTATCTATCTATGTATGCTTTTCATCCTTTCTTGTTCACTTTCTCACTTTCCCATTTATTTTTTTCTTTTATTTTAGGTTAGATTCTATTGGTTAAAAAAATGATGAATTTCCTCGTGTTATCTCAATTTATCTGATTGTATTTTTCGCTAATGATCTTTCAACTATATTTTTTTTTAGATTTCTTCTGATTGGCCTACACAAATACTAACTCGGCGTTCGTTATATGGAACTGAGAGCTAAAGATACGAAATTTTGAAAAACAAGAGAAGCAGAAGAAGAAAATTCGTTTTGAACAGGAGAAAAAGAAATTAAATGAAACTTGCAACAGGACATTTGCAATTCCAGCTCATTATTGTTAACTAAGAAAAAAGAAAGAATAAAAATAAAAAAAAATAAAGAAAAGCCAAAATAAAATAATAAATGAATAAATAAATGATATTTGGTAACCGCCATGATAAAAATTTTACAAACTTATATTTGGATTATTTGATAAAAAAAAAAACAAAAAAAAACAAAACAAAATAACTACAAAAAAACATCGGAAGGTCTGAAGATAAATTGGAATCAAAGCTATTTCTCCCCTAAAAATAAAACATCCATGTATCAAATCCTACATAAAATCTGATAAAATGTCTCAACATAGTGTCATGGTTAACGATCCAATTGAGCAGACCCATAGTGTCTTCGAATCTCATTTGATATTCAACACTACTAACTTTTAAACATGTTCAGTTAAGTTGGCCATATACCAATCATTCAACAATAAGGGTACATTGTCGTGGAATTCTATTTACGAATATAATTCCTAATGTCATTATTAAACGAGTGGAATCTTCCTCGTTTGTACCTCATACGCCTCGCCTCGTGTCAGACTACGTTGGAAATTCTAAATACGCGTAAACGCAGTTTTACAAATATGCACCCGTTTAAAATTTCAATCTAAATTCAAGCAAGTTTTTAACATTTAAGAAATCCGAGCAACTAGCTGCGCTGTGGTTAGTGCGCTTGTGTCGAGAATAAATTTACGTATAAGATCTAATCCCACCGAGCGCTGACAAGAAATAGTTTTATGTAAAATTTAAACGATTTGTGAAAATTAAAAAAAAAAATCAAATTGTCCAGTTATTTTTAACCAGGAAATTATTCATTGGTGCCTGTTTTGTAGTATGATCATTAGTGCCTGTTTTGTAGTATGATCATTAGTGCCTGTTTTGTAGTATGATCATTAGTGCCTGTTTTGTAGTATGATCATTAGTGCCTGTTTTGTAGTATGATCATCGGTTTATCCGGACGTATGCGTCAGTTTATTCTTTGACTGGCTCGCAAATAATTGAAAATTTGTCTCCTGTACCGTCCTAGCTGGCTATGTGGATTAGCTTATATGAACAAATAACGTGTAACAATTTACCTTTAACAACACATTTTCAGTAATACTTTGAAATACGAGCGTACTGACATACGAGTTTTTGAGATATGAGTCGCAGTTCGACTGACTTTTTTTTACCTTGAGATAAGAGGTGAATTTCGAGATACGTGTGATAGTATTTCTTTATAATTTTTTTTGGTCTTTTATTTTATTGTTTGTAAACTACATTCATTCATGCGTTTTTGCTTGTAAAAAACCCGCAAATACAAAAATAGGGATGCGTTTTAGGAAAATTAGGATGATTTCTGGGGGTCTGGAACGGTACGGAAATTGGGATGTTTATGAAAATGTTCCCAGAAAATTATTTGTCATACAATTGTTAAACGTTTTCTGTTTTATTCAAAACACATTATATACTCTGCCTAGTAATTCGCCAGAACATACCGTAGAGAGATGTGTAAAGATGGAAACACTCGTCTAGTAGGGTATAAATATCGAATTGAAAACTCTCGTGTAGAGGTGTGTATATAGGTTGTTATAAACACAGGTTTAGAGATGTGTAAAGGCGTAGGTGTAAACATCCGGGTAAATTTCTATTTTGTTTCCCGAGCGCTAATATCCCTTAAAATTTTTCCAAAATCGTCATAATTCCGTGCAAATGTATATGCTGATCTCAAATTAACAATTAAATTATGAAGAAACCTTACCGTTTTGGAGTTATCGACAAGAAAAAAATCGGACTTCTTGTTCGCCATTACTGCCATCATGAATCCTCATTCGCTGCGGGATACTTGCGCTTGCCTTTGGCCTATTTACTTCTTTTACAGACTTTCCTTGCAGAAAATCACTACGCACTACTGTAAAGAAATGTAATTTTTTTCTTTTGGTAAGTTTAGTTTTATTTATAACAAAAACGAATTAAATAATACTATAGAACCTTTTTTCCGTTTCGAATAGCAATGACAAATTAAAAGAACAAATTAAAAAATAAAAATAAAGCATTTTTTATATTGTAAAATTGAAATATTTTTTTATGGTAGTGCGTAGTGATTTTCTGCAAGGAAAGTCTGTAAAAGAAGTAAATAAGCCCAAATTTTATGACTCCGCCAAAAATCTTTCGGCAGTGAATTACTTCTCAATAAGCCGGTTATAGCTGACGAAAGACCGAGAAGAAGTCCGATTTTTTCTGGTCTTTAACATCCAAAAAGGTAGGGTTTTCATGATCTAATTGTTGATTTGAGTTCAGCATGTACATTTGCACGGAAATAAGACTATTTTATGAAAAATTTGAAGGGATATTAGCGCTCGGGAAAAAATAGAAATTTACCAACATCCGTATATATATGAATCAAATAAAGATCAAACATGAATCAGAATCCGAAAGGATGCTAGGATACAGAACATAATAAGTAAAATATTAGATGAACCTGTGACTGTAAAATCTCGGAATATGTCTGGTCTGGCTAAGATGAAGAAGAACACAGTAGCAGACGAGACGAGATGGTGACAGTCAGATATGTTTTATGATGGATTGCTGAAATTACTTGAAGTGATAAACGAAATGCCAGAAGAAATTAGCAGATCAATGTTATAGTGTTGCCAAAGAAACCAGGAACAAATGGGCGCCCTTCCAAATAGAGTAATGGCTTGAGATACGAGCGTACCGACATACGTGCTTTTTGAGTTACGAGTCGGAGATCGGTCGTTTTTTTTTTGCCTTGAGATACGAGCTGAATTTTGAGATACAAGCGAGTTTCAGTTAAGCATCCGCTAGTAGCCACAACGAGCGCCAAACTTCGAGAGTTTTTCCATTCGCAGAATACATGTTCATCTCGCTCTGGAAGGATCGCTTTTGTGTTGTGTCTTTTTTTCCCATTATTTTAAAGAATTTCTTTTTATGACACAATGGGTTCGAAGTAAATAAGTGTAAAGAGCAATGGTGAAAAGCTGAAACGTATGATTTCGCTTCAGGTAAAGCGGGGAATTAAGAAAAAAGAAAAAATGAGAAAGATTTACGAGTAAGGGATTTGGCGAGACAGTATAAATGTTCTACATCGACGATAAATAAAAAAAAATAAATTAAAAAAAGTTAATTACGGTAATGAATAAAATGAAAATTTTTTAAAAATTTCAAAAACTAAGTGGTGAAGTTAATCTTCAGTATCGTAGATTAGGCTAGCCGTTGCTAGGGTAGGTTAGCAGTTGCTGCGCTAACTGCCCCCCTCTCTCTCTCTCCTCCACTATTTGACCTATGACTCATCTGAACTCCAACGTTATGTACAGTTTGTTTTTCTCTTTTATTTTGTTTGCAAACTACATTTCTTATTTATTCCCACGTTTTTGCTTGAAGAAACAAATAAAAAAAAAAACTAAGGGTGATTTTTAGGAAAATAAGGGTGATTTTTAGGGGCCTAGAATGGATCGGAAATATTCACATTAATTTCAATAGGGAAAACTGATTCGCGATACGAATGCTTCGAATTACGAACTCGGTCTTGGAACGAATTCAAGTCGTATCTCAAGGCTTAACTGTAACTGTAAAAACAATTGGCAAGTTTATGAAAATGTTCCCAGAAAATCGTTTGTCATACAATTGTTAAATGTTTTCGGTTTTATTTAGGACAGATTATATACTCTGCCTAGTAATTCGCCAGAACGTACCGTAGAGAGATGTGTAAAGATGGAGTTGGAAACTTTCGTTTAGTAGGGTATTGTTAAGGGGTCCACCCCTTTTTCATGCAAGTGGACTCGCCGAGTGTGTACTTGTACTGCTGCCGGTGAATACCAAAAAGTCAGACAGTCAAAGTGACAGTGATATAGGGAAAGAGTAAGAGTGTGAGGTAACCGTTTTGTAGGAGTCACGGTTGCGAGCATGTAGACTCAGAAGGAAGTCATACTTCGATACTGAATTTCCCAGACTGTATATATATATTATCATTGCTACTAACCGCATTCCTGGATCTACTAACTGTATTACCAATTGTATTATTACGTCAATACATTTATTTGCTATATTTCATTCCTGCGTTTGTCATTCATTTTGAGACCGGATTTCATCCCGGAATCCACAACAGGTATAAATATCGAATTGGAAACTCTCGTGTAGAGGTGTGTATATAGGTTGTTATAAACACACATTCAAAGACGTAGGTGGAAACATCCTTATAAATTGGGATCGAATTCAGATCAAACTTGGATCAGAATCCGAAAGAATGATAGGATACAGGACAAATTTTCATTAGTTAAGCAGATTTCACTTGCATTTGAGTTGTCAAGCAGGGTTCTCCTGTATAATTTATGTGCGCAAATGTATCATAATTCTATGATAAGATTAATATAACATAATTCACAATTTTTCTATGCGGGATTTGGATGATATGGAGGTATGTAAAAATATCGCTAGATATACGTGTTTCAAGATATTGGGAAATATTCGTTTAGTGATGTGTTAAACGTAAATGGAAGTATTTGCCCCGGCATGTGTAAATTTGGTACCTTGCTTGTCTGTAGATATTTAGAAATACCGTTTTAGCGAAGTATAAAGACGTAACCCTTATCCGGAAGTCTTGAATTTAATTCATTATTTACATAGTTCACGTCCTTATTTTCTTAATAGAAATCTTAATAGAAATCTGTGGAGAGGGATATCGGTATTTTCTTAATTATTGTTGGTTCTAAATCACGTAGAAACTCGTATATAACTCGACTGGTTCAGTCGGCGGGTTTACCCGAGGCCAGAAGAAACAGACAAGCTCCTCCAAGCTATTCTATTGGCGGGTGGCTCAGGAGTTTCGACATCGTCGTGCCCGTTTACTACCTGATCTGACCAGCTTTGCGTTGCCGTCTCCGCTGCGTCCATCTTCAACAGTGTCTTGCGTGGGGGGGGTCTTGCAGAGACTGTCATGCCGTGTGACGTGGTTAAAGCATCTTACGACACTTAATAGTAGCGGGAAGAGATTCGGTCAATGAAATTATAACACTATATAAAAGCAGAAAACATTTGACATTCATAGATGATTACCAAATGATTCATTTCGATTGAAGAATAGAGGAACTACAACGACATTCATACTTAAAATCAGAGAGAGACATAAAACGAGGAAAGGTTTGGGAAATGTAATACTCACAGACTTACAATTAATACAGGAGTAAATATTTATCTCATTAGCATAGATACCGAGTAATAACATAGATCCAAGAATAGAGCACTGAAAGAGCAGAAATGATCAAGAAGAGTGGCCATTCAAGACAACCTTCATTTCACGATTTGATAAGAAAGACTGAATCAGTTCAAAAATTCATCTGGAAATACCTTTCAACTTGCGAAGAAGACAAATATGCCAAATTATTACGTTATCGATTCTTTCAGACAGTTTGAAATTCTTGTTCTTAATTGATAAATATAACGTTTAACAAGGAAATTTGAACATGCGTTAGCTTCGACAATTTAAATAAACAATGAAATACGCCCATTTACATCACTTATTTTATATGTGAACCGGACAGGGTGTTATTCGTCATTTTTACCGTCAATCATTATCTACCCACCTTACCCTCCTGAGTTTTCCATCCCACCACCATCTCTTTCATTCCAGTCACACACCTCATTCAAAATCACCATTTTGACTTACGAGGGTCGGTTAAAAAGTTTATAGCCTGACCAACCTATAAGTTGTGATTTTCTAAGCGTATCTTAGATGTGGTGCAACGTTGAGACCTCGGCGTGGTGTAATGGTTAGCAAGCTTGTCTCGCTAAAACAGTTACGATGCACCATACTTTCGGCCTTGTGCCACATCTAAGCTACGCTTAGAAAATTAATATAAATATAACACAAGGCTAAAACTATGGGTCACCCACTGAGGAACGAACTCACTATTCAGTTATAATTGTTCTAGTGTGACAAACTTGCTAACCACTACACTGCATATAGGTCTCCGTATTGATTTCTTAAACGAAGCTTAGATATGTCACAAGGCCGAATGTATTGAGCACCCCGTGACGAATGAACTCACTACTCAGACGTAATTGTTCTAGCGAAACAAATTTGCTAACCACTGCACCGCATATACGTGCCGTAGTGATTTACTAAACGAAGCTTAGATGTGGCTCAAGGCCGAATGTATTGAGCACCCAGTGATGCTCGAACTCATTACTCAGTCGTAACTGATGTAGCGAGACAAGCTTGCTAAACATTATACCACATCGAGTTGATCTGACCAATATATACAGTGTAACCCGGATATAAGAGACCCGGATATAAGAGAAACCCGGATATAAGAGAGATTTTCTCTGGTCCCAAATTAGAGCCTGTGTTAATGCATATAAAATAGACCAAACCAGGATATAAGAGAAACCCGGATATAAGAGACTTCTTCTCCGGTCCCGACAACTCTCTTATATCCGGGTTACACTGTAACTCCAAGTACACACACCATTTGATAGGCTAAAAGATATTTAAGTGTGCCAATTGGTGTCTCTACTTACGTTTATGTGTTGATCAGTCTATGAACTTTCCAGCCGATACTCGCAGCCACTATCTTGAGGGGCTATCGAGCCTTGTATTGGTTATATTCTAGTATTAAATAGTCGAATAATCTCAGCAGAAACATTTAAATTATTCGATTATTTATAAGGACGGTTGTTAATTAGACATTTAATCCATTTTTAACATTTTCCTTAAGCAGCTCTATCTTAATAACCACACAATTGAAAATTTACGTAAAACCTAATTTAAGACTCAACATACCATATCGAGTATCCGGCAAAGCAATCCATTCCATTACAAGCTTAATGAAAGTTACAATCACAAAATGTGGGTCCTAAATCTATCAAACTTTGAAAAACTAGTATCCCCATGAGGGAGTTAATCGATTTTGTGAAACTGATTAATTTAATTAAACAAGTAATTGGATTTTTAACAGTTGTACAATTAATGCGATCCTATTGTATGTTTGAATTGTGCTGCTCCCCCCAACAAGGAACAAATGAAATCACAAGCAAGCTATGTCAGTTTTAGTTATTGAATTAAATTGAATGTTTCCATTTGAGTCGTTTCGTCTACTTTAAAAGAACATCATGACACGTGTGAATGAAGCCGAGATACGTGCTTCATATCCATTTTTTGACCATGTTTACTCTATTTCAAGATGCCATTACCCGCTTCTTATCTGAGTGAAACTTCCTCCTTACCAATGGAATACAAAGGGAATGACGATGATTCGACCGTGTGTACGTGATATGGCTGATATGGCTGGTTTTTACATGACTATTGTGTAGCCAACGAAATAAATTTTAAGGAACTGGTGTTAGTACTCTGTACAATCTGTAGGGATAAGTAAATATATATGAAATGATACTTTAACTCCTTACTTTTATGTTGATTGCCAATTCTGTTTCAAATTATTATTATTATTATTAAATTACCATATTATTAGGTTTTAACATCCCGGTTTCGTAAACACCGGGAAATTCAGTGGCATAAATATTTATATAAATATATATATATATAAAATGATTTATTAATTATACTCTGGGGATGTATATAATATATGTATATATATATATTATATATATTATATATTTTTATAATCTATATATCTATTATATATGTATTATATATGTATTTAAATTATATATATTATATATAATCATATATTATTATATATTATATATATTTTATATTTAACTCCTATATATATTATATATCTTTTATGTTATATTGTTTTATTTTTGTATTATATATATCATATTCTGTTTATAATTATATATCTATTATATTATTATATTTTATTATATTATTATATATCTATTATATATCTATTATATATTCTATATTTTTCATTAAACGTCTATATATATAGTCTCAGTTTACATGTGTCCTCTTTTTCGGTTTAAACATCATCACGAAGTTGGTAAATTATATATGAGTATATATAACATATATTATAAATATTATACATGTATTATATATATATATTATATATATTATATATATATTATATATATATGAAACTGATATTTTTGCTTTAACTCCTTACTTTTATGTTGATTGTTTTATTTTTGAGTCTGTATTCTGTTTCAAATTATAAATATTATATATATTATTATTATATTTTCAATATATCTATTATATATATTATATATATATTGTTATATATATTATATATATTATATATGTATTATATATATTATATGTGTATTATAAATATTATATATGTATTATATATATTATATATCTATTATATATATTATATATGTATTATATATATATATTATATATGTATTTATATATTATATATGTGTTCTATATATTAAATTTATTATAAAACGGTTTATGTGTTCCATATCACGTTGTAACACTCGTTCTCGTACGATCACTAAAGTTAAACAACGTTCAGCCTGGACAGTAGTTAGATGGGGGACTGCTGAATACCAGGTGTGTAAGCTCGAATATAAAGCTGATGTAATGTAATTGGAAATCGGAAAGCGGAGTTCCAATTCCAGTCGGGTTCTTTATATGCACTTACGTGTAAATCCACACGAGAAAGGTATGAATCGACATCACCTCCTCCAAGCTATGAGTTAATTCTTTCTTTTTATTTCCGATGTGATTTCAGAACACAGGCGAACATGGCTGTCCCCCTCCCCCTCTATCCCTTGCAGCTTTCAAACGGTAGTGTCAGAGCTATGCCGCCCGGAACTTCGTTCCTGGTAGGGCCACCCAAGGCGGACATGTCTGACACACACGCCGGCTAACAAGGGCTCTGGTGAAAATCCAAGGAGCGTCTGCATCGGTAACCGGCGGCTTCTGGTCGTTCCTGTCTCTGCGTCTGTGGGAATCCCGCGGCAAGCAAGAACGTTATCCGAGTAGGCCTGGGTACCCTACTTCTGTAATTTATCCCAAGAATCTTCTTCTCACAACAGGAAGAAGCCGGCTCAATCCGCCCAGGGTGAATGCGGCATCAGTACAGTACAGTAGTAGTATTCTTGGGCGTCTCGAGAACCTGGCAACGAAATTTTAAATAAAACCTCATGCTAAATGTTTTCCTCTCATATCCATTTCTTGTAAAAATTATATTTAATACATAAATTATAAGTATTTTAAATTGGGGAATTACTTTTCAGTCAGCCTGTGTGTGTTCTGTTTCGAAGTAAAAGTAATTGAATGAAAATAAACTTGTATTACAATCAAAACATTCGGTAAGAGTAAAAGGGGCGCTAAATTACACGGTTTGATCTCGTTTACCGCTACTCTTAGTTGTTTTTTCTATTTATAGTTTTTTTAATATGGCGCAGATTACTGTAGAAATTCCAATTTTCACTTGTGACGACCGTTCCGAACTGGAATTGCTCGATAGACAACTAAATTATTACCTTGTACCCCAATTTGCGTTTTTTGTGTGTGGATCCCCAGTAATGTTACATGGACTCCTAAGGTGCATATGGACCCCGGTTGAGAATAACTGATTTAGTTTTTGATTGTTTTGTCCTACAGGTCTGCATGGTTTGTATAAGATAAATTAAAAAAACAACAACAACAGGTTTTATTGTTTATGAAAAACGAATTAAAAAGCCGATATTAAAAATTGAAATTTTAACTAATTCAAACAGGTTCTTATTCTTGTTTCTGTTTTTGTTGTAGCTTTTCTTCTTCTTCTTCTTCTCCTCCTCCTTCTCCTTCTTCTCCTCCTTCTTCTTCTTCTTCCCCTCCTCCTCCTCCTTCTTCTTCTTCTTCTTCCCTGCTTCTTCTTCTACTTCTTCTCTTCCTCCTTCTTCTTCTTCTTATTTTTCTTCTTCTCCTCCTCCTCCTTCTTCTTCTTCTCCCCTCCTCCTCCTCCTTCTTCTTCTCCTTATTTTTCTTCTCCTCCTCCTTCTTCTTCTTCTTCTCCTCCTTCTTCTTATTTTTCTTCTCTCCCCCTCCTCCTCGTTCTTCTTCTTCTTCTTCTCTCCCCCTCCTCCTCCTCCTTCTTCTTCTCCTCCTTCTTCTTCTTCTCTCCCCCTCCTCCTCCTTCTTCTATGCACACTAATCTATAGAAGGTTGGTGATCATAACTCTTCACAATAATATCGTAGGCAGCTCCTGGAATGTTTTGCATTCTCGTTAACTTGTCCAATAACTGAATTTGTGTTTCCGTTTTCTTTGAAACTTCCTCGTTACCCGCATGTTCAATTCATGGTATTCTTAGCGTTCTTCTCCAGGACGACGTTTCTGTTACTTCAAGTTCCGTCTTGCTCTTTGACAAGATGATCTAACATTGTCATAAAGAAGAACTGATGTTAACTGATATTTGATTGATACGATTTGAGTTTTTAACAAAATTGGCCTGTTTTTTAATACTTTTCTTTTAATACCTCCACGAAATCAGGATTTCATTTTATTTTCAGTAAACCAATAAAACTAGTTTGAATTCATTTGTATTATGACTAAATGTCATAAAACAGAAAAGATTTCGTTAGAAACAATGAAAAGAGTATTAAACTGTTATGTAATATCAATTCTTCTGTATGGCAGGGAATGCTGGACAATCTCTTCACAGAAGATAAAAGACATGAAGCAGCAGAAATGAGGTTCTACAGGAGGATGCTGAGGATACCATGGGCCGAAAATGGGAACGACGACAACGTTTTACAGAAAATGGAAACAAAAAAAGAAAACTTACTCTTAAAATCAGGATGAGACTCTTGATATTTCTAGGATATATAATGAGGAAAGAAGGCTTGGAAAATCTTATACTCACAGAAGAGATTGAAGGCCAGAGAGACAGAGTAAAACAACGCATAACATAGTGAGCTTGAGTAAATGGATGGTGTAACACGGTTTAGGAGAAATAACAAAGAAAAAGACAAAATTTATTAAGAGGATAGGAAATAGTGGAGAGCCTACGGATTGAGAATCAGAATCTCTATGCAATTATCTGACAGAGGTATCCAAAAATTACTTGAATATTTAACTTGTCACCTATTACGGGACAGACAAAGGTATCATAAATATGTTCATCGCGAGTTTGATTTAAAGTGGCAAACATTAATTGTTATAATCTTTATAAACTGAATGTAACAAGAGAAGCGCTCTGTTGTAGATATTGTTCGAGTCATTTTTAAGATTGGTTTTCTTTTTGAGGTTGGTTTTCTTTAGTCTTTTCCTTCTCAAATTTCGAATTACTTCGTTCAATGATATCGATTCTGATTCGATCATATTTCGCGCACTTTAACCTGAAACAACTCGCACTCCGAGGACAAGACGCACTTGAACGTCTGCACGCAAATGCACCTGCAATCCTGAACAGTAAAGCAAATGCACTGGTAGACTCGCGACGCTCATATAAAATGCCCCGCCCCTCCTTGCTCATATGCCGAGAAGTGCAGACCTTAATTTTTCTAATGAAAATTGTATTTTAAAATACAATCGAATTGAATGAAGTTTTTTTTTTCATTCAACTATTTAGTATTTTTTTTTTTAAAAAAACATCATTTTCTAATCAACCGTGTTTACACTTAATGACCTTTCTGTTCATTTTTCTACTTTCTGCGTAGATATTTCCTGAACTTAACATAAGCCGGTTTTCATTCATGCGTCAAATGATCACGGCTCTTAACAACTTCCTGTCTTTTATTACATTAAGTAACATTAGACCCGTTACCAACTCTCCTTGACTCTAGTTTGTTTCATGCCGTCCATTTCCTTATATTAGTTAAAAATGTTACTTCTGCTGTATTTTTATTTTTCATTTTTGGGTGTTAAATTCTCGAAGCCTTCTTTCCTCATTTTTTTCCTCCCCAGAATCGATCCTCCAGATCTACAAATCAACCATTCGCCCTTGCATGGAGTATTGCTGCCATATATGGTCTGGAGTCCCTTCTGTTTGCCTCGGGGTACTTGATAGGCTCCAGAGGCGGATATGCAATGTAGTTGGCCCTGTTCTGGCATCTCGTCTACAGTCACTTTCTCACAGACGCGCCATCGCCTCCCTTTGTCTGTTCTACAAATACTTTCGTGGAAATTGCTCCGAGGAGCTGCATTCACTTGTTCCCAGACTTCATGAGTTCAAGGGCCCTACGAGGCTGGCATCCCGCTCTCACCCTTTCACTGTCGAAACTCCTAAATGTAGCAAATCTCTTCTACTCCAATAGCTTCATGTCTCGCACCTCTCACCTGTGGAACTCCCTTCCCTATTCCTGTTTCCCTGAGAGCTATAATCTCCAGCTATTGAAGTGTAATGTCAATCGACATCTCCAGTTGCCTTGATCTATCCACTATCCTTCTCCTCATACCCTCTTCTATCACTCCTATCTGATCTCGCTCTATATTTTTTGTAACCCCTTGCGTCCTAGTGGCTTCCCCTTGCTTGGGGTGAAATGCTTAATATATATATATATATATATATATATATATATATATATATATATATATATATATATGTGTGTAGATCAGATAGGAGTGATATATATATATAATCTCCCTCAAAACTTAACTTTCTCTTCCTGACAGCTACCGGCACATTATTTCTTTTTATAGAAAATGTATTGCTGGTATTTTTACTATAACAAAGTATTTTTAGACTTTCATAGCATTTTGCTCTTGTTTGGGGGGGCACTATTTGCCCATAATTGTGACCTGTGGCCCTAACCGATGCTAACACCCCGGGTCAGGGTGAACCTGGGAACAACAGCACGTAAGGGGTGGTTTCAACCTCCTCAAAACCACCAATCTCCCGATCAGAGATCTTGCTGCTGGATGTCGTCTATCGTCATACCCAGTTCTGTTACTGACTCTCCTTGTCTCTATGGTTTGTTTCATGCCATTCATTTACTTATACTATTTAGAAATGTTACCACTGATGTTTTATTTTATTTTTTTTTAGTTTTGCGGTGTTAAATTCTCCAAGCCTTCTTTCCTCATTATAGCACCCCCAAATTTAAACTCTTTCTTCCTGACAAGTAACAGCAAAATGTTTGGAATCCAATGCCCAGCTAGGAATACATAGTTGTAGAAAGAATTTATAGTTTCTTTTTAATTGAGAAGAGACTGTCTGTATTGAAAACCAGCATTTGAATGCATATTTTTAAATGCACACATTTGAATGCACCAATTTGAATGCACACCTTTAATCATTTCAGTAAATCAACTCTTAAATAAACAAACAAATATAAAAGCAACTGATTGACCAATTGGTCAAATTATTTATAAAGTTTTGTTTGGTGACAATAGCGAGGCACACAGTAAGAATAGAAATTAGTAAACTTTTTAAAATTTCACTAAATCAACTCAGTAAATAAACAAAGAAAGAAATATAAAAAACAACTGATTAGTCAAATTATTTATAAAGTTTTGTTTGGTGACAATAGCGAGGTACACAGTAAGAATAGAAATTAGTAAACTTTTTACCAATTATCCTTTTAGTATCCATTCAACCATATTTTACGACTTATTTTTTTAGACACGTGACATTAATAATATTTTAATACGACGTGTAAGCATATATAGCATTTTAGTCTTTTCTGTGTATATTATTGATAAAATGATAAAACTTAATGCTCGTCTGTTATGGAAATAAAATGTCTTAAACTATGTTCGACTAGTGGAACAAGGGTCATTAAAAAGTTTGACCTATGTCAGGCATGTGTGCGGCAGTGTGACTTATCGGATGGTACATAAATATTGTCTTCCTTTTGAGTCGGTAGTTAGCTATAATATCAGTCCTCCTCTATGGCAGTGAATGCTGGGTAGTCTTCTCACAAAAGAAGAAGAATCTTCAGGCAACAATGATGTGGTTCTACAGAAGGATACTGAGAATCCTATGGACTGACATATGCGTAACGAGAAAGATTTAAAGAAAACCGAAACAAGGACACTTTGTTTTAGCCTATTTAACGGCAAATCAACAATTTTGGGGTCATTTAATGCCGAAATTTAATTTTCTTGGAAGTTTCGAAGTAATAAAAATATGATATATGTTATTCTGCTTTCGCAGTTGAATACATGGTAGATAATACACAGCATTTGTGTATATACATGTTTGTGTAGACATTACTAGAAGCGGTGATGTGTGTTTTATGTTGTAGTTTTGTTGAAGTTTTGGAATATAGATCGATTTAAGAAATTGAAGGATATTATATGAATTAATCTCATGAAAGAGGTCCTTCAAGCTGGTTGAGTTTGTTTAGAGGCATATCAACCTTTACGGGTTAATTAATGCAGAAATCTAAATATTTTGAACACAGTTGTATGCCTTTTAACTACAGATAAATGCATTGTTAGTCATTTAGTCATCTCGTAGTTCTCGACAAAATCCAAAGACGGATATGCAATGTGATAGGTCGTGACCTGACATCTAGACACCAGTCACTTTCTCACAGACGTGGATTCCCTCTGTCTTTTCTACAAATATTTTCATGGCAGCTGCTCTGACGAACTATTTCCACTGGTGCCTAACAGCATGAATTTAAGCGTGCTACTAGTTTGGTAATTCGCTCCCACACTTTCTCTGTCAAAACAGTTAAATGTAACCACCTCTTCTAATCCAACAGCTTCTTTTCTCACACTTCTCGACAGTGGAACTCACTTCCTCTTACTTGCTTCCATGATAACTATAATCTTCAAATATTCCAATGCCATGTTAATCGATATCTTCTTATGCATTGATATTGATCCCTGTCCTTCTTTTTCTCCTTTCCACAAAAACCCCTCTTTACTCTTACTTTCACTGTCTGTAACCCCTCTCTCTTTACTCTTACTTTCACTCTCTGTAGCCCATCTCTATTTATTCTTACTTTCACTCTCTGTAACCCCTCTCTTTTTACTCTTACTTTCACTCTCTGTAACCCTCTCTCTTTACTCTTACTTTCACTCTCTGTAGCCCCTCTCTCTTTACTCTTACTTTCACTCTCTGTAGCCCCTCTCTCTTTACTCTTACTTTCACTCTCTGTAATCCCTCTCTCTTTACTCTTACTTTCACTTTCTGTAATCCCTCTCTCTTTACTCTTACTTTCACTCTCTGTAGCCCCTCTCTCTTTACTCTTACTTTCACTCTCTGTAGCCCCTCTCTCTTTACTCTTACTTTCACTCTCTGTAATCCCTCTCTTTACTCTTACTTTCACTCTCTGTAACCCCTCTCTTTACTCTTACATTCACTCTCTGTAGCCCCTCTCTCTTTACTCTTACTTTCACTCTCTGTAACCCCTCTCTCTTTACTCTTACTTTCACTCTCTGTAACCCCTCTCTCTTTACTCTTACTTTCACTCTCTGTAGCCCCTCTCTCTTTACTCTTACATTCACTCTCTGTAACCCTTCTCTCTTTACTCTTACATTCACTCTCTGTAGCCCCTCTCTCTTTACTCTTACTTTCACTCTCTGTAGCCCCTCTCTCTTTACTCTTACTTTCACTCTCTGTAACCCCTCTCTTTTTAATCTTACATCCACTCTCTGTAACCCCTCTCTCTTTACTCTTACTTTCACTCTCTGTAACCCTTCTCTCTTTACTCTTACATTCACTCTCTGTAACCCCTCTCTCTTTCATCTTACTTTCACTCTCTGTAACCCCTCTCTCTTTCATCTTACTTTCACTCTCTGTAACCCTCTCTCTTTACTCTTACATTCCTCTCTGTAACCCTCTCTTCTTACTTTCACTCTCTTACCCTCTCTCTTTTACTTTCACTCTCTGTAACCCTCTCTCTTTCTTCTCTTACCCTTCTCTTTCACTCTCTCTCTGTAACCCTCTCTCTTTACTCTTACTTTCCTCTCTGTAACCCTCTCTCTTTCCCTCTTACATTCACTTTCTCTGTAACCCCTCTCTCTTTACTCTTACTTTCACTCTCTGTAACCCTTCTCTCTTTACTCTTACTTTCACTCTCCCTCTCTCTTTACTCTTACTTTCCTCTTTGTAACCCCTCTCTCTTTCTTTCTCTCTGTAACCCCTCTCTTTACTCTCTTTCACTCTCTGTAACCCCTCTCTCTTTACTTTCTTCTCTGTAACCCTCTCTCTAACCCTTCTCTCTTAACCCTCTCTTTACTTTCTTTCTCTCTGTAACCTCTCTCTTTACTCTTACTTTCACTCTCTGTAACCCTCTCTCTTTACTCTTACTTTCCTCTCTGTAACCCTCTCTCTTTACTTTACTCTCTGTAACCCTTCTCTCTTTACTCTTACATTCACTTTCTGTAACCCTTCTCTCTTTACTCTTACTTTCACTCTCTGTAACCCTCTCTCTTTACTCTTACTTTCACTCTCTGTAACCCTCTCTCTTTACTCTTACTTTCACTCTCTGTAACCCTCTCTCTTTACTCTTACTTTCACTCTCTGTAGCCCCTCTCTCTTTACTCTTACATTCACTCTCTGTAACCCCTCTCTCTTTACTCTTACTTTCACTCTCTGTAACCCTCCCTTCTCTTCTTTCCTCTCTGTAACCTCTCTCTTTCTCTTACTTTCCTCTGTAACCCTCTCTCTTTACTCTTACTTTCACTCTCTGTAGCCCCTCTCTCTTTACTCTTACTTTCACTCTCTGTAACCCTCTCTCTTTACTCTTACTTTCACTCTCTGTAACCCTTTGCATGCTAGTGGCACTCCCACCTTGTTTAGTGTTAAATGCTAAAAAAAGATATGCATTGTCGGTATTTTTTTTTAGATAGAAAAATGTATTGCTGGTATTTTTACCACAAGAGTGCATTTTTATACTTTCATAGAGCATAGCTCTTGTTTGGGGGGGGGTTCACTATTTGCCCATAACTGGGACTCTAACAGGTGCTGCCACCCCGCATCTGGGTAGATCTGGGAAAAAAACAGCAAATAAGAGGTGGTTCCACGCTCCTCAAAACCTCCATACTCACGATCAGAGGACTTGCTGTTGGATGTCGTTCATCGATAGACCCATGACTAAGGCGGACACTTAGATTTAGGACTAGAAAAATACAGTGGAAATTTCCAGGACACATTTCCAGGATATGCTGATGGCAAGACTTACATAGGGAAACGGAAAATAACATATCAGCACGATAAAAAATAGGTAAAAAATATCTATCTATCTATCTATCTATCTATCTATCTATCTATCTATCTATCTATCTATCTATCTATCTATCTAGGTCTCTTAATTATCTATCTATCTATCTATCTATCTATCTATCTATCTATCTATCTATCTATCTATCTAGTCTCCTTAATTTGATCTATCTATCTATCTATCTATCTATCTATCTATCTATCTAGTCTCCTTAATTTGATCTATCTATCTATCTATCTATCTATCTATCTATCTATCTATCTATCTATCTATCTATCTATCTATCTAGTCTCCTTAATTTGATCTATCTATCTATCTATCTATCTATCTATCTATCTATCTATCTATCTATCTATCTAGTCTCCTTCATTTGATCTATCTATCTATCTAGTCTCCTTAATTTGATCTATCTATCTATCTATCTATCTATCTATCTATCTATCTATCTATCTATCTATCTATTTGGATCTATAATTTGATCTATCTATCTATCTATCTATCTATCTATCTATCTATCTATCTATCTATCTATCTATCTAGGTCTCTAGACTCACATACAGTTGCTATACTGAAATACATGTATTAACCCCATTATCCTATCCTTCCTTCCTATCTATCTATCTATCTATCTATCTATCTATCTATCTAGTCTCCTTAATTTGATTTATCTATCTATCTATCTATCTATCTATCTATCTATCTATCTATCTATCTATCTATCTATTTGTGTGTGTTTATTTTATTTTTTTGTTTATACCCATTTCTGAGTAGACGCTCTATTTATTTATTAAACAGTATATTTATTTATCTATTTATTTATTTCCGACTTCCAGATTGAATATTCGAGAAATCTTATTAAAGATTTTTAGAATATTAAAACTAGTAACGGAAGTAATGTCGATTTTTCAAGGAGAAGACATTTTATATTTTAAAATGAGGTATCAGTGAAGTATCGCCAAGAGCGGGAGAGAAAAGTTCATTTTTAAATATAAAAAAAAAAGATTCACTCATTATTGTTTATCTGCTGATGGGAGAAAGAAAATTACATCATTTCGTTTTGCATCCAAAATAAATCCTTTGCTTTCCACTGTCGACTTTCTCTCGCTACTAACATTGATTTCGTGCTGTTTCGTGATTATCCGCCCGTTTGGTGATTTACTGCCCCGAGTGACTAATTGAAGAGTGACACACATCCCTAAACCTTCATTAGTTTTTTTTTTTCTACTAATGGTATGTCAGCCGGGTTCTACCCTTGAAGGGAGTTGAACTCTCATGAAAGAAAAAAAAAAAGAAAGAAAGAAGATATGTGATAATGGTGTTCAAAGGGATAATATCACGCTTTAATTTAGCACTTTCCATATAGTATTAGTTTCTCACAGGAAGAAATCAACTTCAACGAAAGCAGTAAATTGATTTTCATTTTTACTGAGAGAACGAACTGCTTATGTAAGCTCCCATAGCATAGGGATGATTTATTAAACAGTGTCCTCATCGTGAGAACAGTTACGAGGTACATGAAGAATGATTTCTCATCTTCAGTAACTCTGTAGATAAGCGGTCTTCAAATCTCTATGTCCTTTGCTAACTCCAAAGCTCTTGAATCAGTTTGTTTTACAAGAAATGATTGGATTTTCTTGATAGTTCATTTAATACCGTTATTCTCTACACCAGTGGTTTGAGTCAAGGCCTCCTGTAAGAACTAGCCTTTCATAGATAGACTGACAAACAGATACTCACAGTCCGATTGACTTTTACCAACACTTAGACGCACATTTTTCTATACTGCATCCTCACGCACACTGCACACACCTAACTTTCCTCCAGCGACACTTGAAATAATTGTGGTCAATTGATCCTCACCAGTAAATGAGAAAATAATGAAGCCGTGATAAACCTTGGTAAAATTAGAATTATCACTTTCTCTTATATAGTGGCAAATGATGTCAGTCGTACAGAGAATGATGACATAATGTATAAATAGGAAACATGGACCCAACAGCAAGTCAACAGGCGCCTAGTGGTCGGCACTGTAAGTAGTGGCTGGGTGCGTTTTCTTTCAAGCAGTGGCAGGTTGGATTTTCTTTTATTTCTTTCAATGGGACGAGGGCTGTATAGCGAATATAAACGTTTTTTTTTAGTTTTTTTTATGTGATCCCCACAACCTCCTAAAAACTCATCCATGGACCTCAGGTTAAGAATCCCTGGTTTAGTGAATTTAATCACAAATCACAACGAAGACTTCTGTCATGAAGCCCTTGTTTATATATATATATATATATATATATATATATATATATATATTTCTTAATATGTTTTTCTTTCTTAATATTTCTCCTTTCTTTCTTTACTCCTTAATATGCCTTTCTTTGATATATATATATATATATATATATATATATATATATATATATATATATATATATATATATTTCTTAATACGATTTTTCTTTTTTCTTAATAATCCCCTTCCTTTTTCTTTCTTCATATATTTTCTTTTGATATATATATATATATATATATATATATATATTTCTATTTTATTTCTTAATGTGGTTTTCTTTCTTTCTTTCTTAATATTTCCCCTTCCTTTCTTTCTTCCTTAATATGTCTTTCTTAATATATATATATATATATATATATATATATATATATATATATATATATATATATAATGACAATAATAATCAAAATCTAATTGTCAAAGTTGAATTAGACCAGGAAACAGTAGTATTAAAAGTGCTCAATACACATATAAAATGATAAAACATGTAGTACTTTTTAAGTATAAATCTAATTTTCTACTATATATATATATGTTATAAATTACAATGACGCATGAAACGAAATTACTTGTTCAAACACAACTTATTGAAAAATACCCGAAACCTTTGCTTCAGACAAATAATATTTGTGTTACCTTAATTTATATATATTCCGAAAGGAAGCATTTTAAATATAGTCGCTGTTGATAATAAAATCACCAATTATAAATAATACAGGTCCCATAATATGGAACATCGCGCAAATTCTTCCCATAGATCATAAGGCATTTGAAAAAAATTGGATAATTGAATCGCTTATGATATTTGAGAGACCAACGATTTAATGGAAATAAAATGAATACATCGCCTTTCTAGCTGCGATTCTTTGCTAAAACGTAACAAAACTGACAAATTATTGAAAAGAACGATGAAAAGTTGATTGTTTACAACAATATGAAGCGAAAAAGGTCTTTGGGGCAAAAGAAATGCGCCAACATTAACCACTCCAAATTGGGTCTGCATCCGAGTGCTGTATAAACTGGTGGCCATTGGAAGAGCATTGTTCAATAAGAGTTCCTTCCACAGACTGAGATATTGAGTTCAGACAAGTATTGTTCACAACTGAAATTCAGCAATCGATAAAAGCACCCAGGATTGGCCACAGTCAAAAGATAGAAATAATTAGAAAAAAATGAAAATCGCAAACAAGAAGACGCACACAGGCATTCACTCCCAAAATTTCATTAACACACATTCACATGAAACAAATAAATTACATAGACACACACGCAAATATTACAATAAAAACAACAACAAAAAAACGCACAGAAAAACGAAACTCATATTCACACACACACAGACATACTTACGCACCCAACACAACACAACACACTAAAGCACTCTTGCAAATGAATCCGAACATATTCTTTGACTTAACATATGCGTGTTATTAACGTTTCTTTCATCCATTAATTACACATTTTTACAGGCACATGTACACATAGAAAATATAGATATTTATGTTTGTATCTGTTAACACATTACCAACTTAATTTTCAGTGGGTATATACACAGTAACACATACTTTGGAAGGAATAAAGACAAAAGGATAACTTATTTTAGCCGACGCGTTTCGTCCTCTGAGGGACTTTATCAAGCCAAATGTCTTGATAATTTGCCTTGATAAAAATCCCTCAGAGGACGAATCGCGTCGGCTAAGATAATTTTTTTAGTTTTGTCTATGTTCATATTCTTCTTTTACAGATATACTCTATCTGAAATTTTTACATACTCTGAAATATAAGCCATCAAGTAATTACACACATACATACATATGAACACAAGTGCATAGCTCAGTAGGATTTTAGACTTCACACACTGCAAAGATGATTTCCCAAGTGCCAGTAGTAATTAATGCAAATAGCTTTCATATGTCCGTGATTGGGCCGCGGTCAATCACTAACTAAATGTATCGATAATTATATTCGTTTGTCCATCGATCTGGAAGAATCAAAAGGTGTAATTGATTCGTTTTCTTCCCCCTCCCCCCTTTCTTTTATCTGAATTTTAATGCTGCCTTACATCACAGGGGCTTCTTTTCTATCAGTCCAACCGATGTGAACGTATTCGACACACGATCTCCAATATTTCCGGCAAAATATAACCGTCGTTATTTTTTCTTCTTCTTTCTGTCCATCCGTACTTAGTGAATCAGTGTGAAAACCCATCGAAATAGCAATGTTCTCCTGGGAGTTTAGATGCGTGGGTGGGTGGGGGTTTAACATCCTGGTATTGTAAATCATTTAGAGCAGTATTTTTTAATCTCTTCTTCTCCAGCGCCCGTTTTAATATATTTACGCAGGTTGACGCCCCATGTTAAAAAAAGAAGAAAACACCGATTAATGAAGCAGAGAAAATACAACAGAAATAATGTTATAAGAAATAAGGTTCACTCTGTACAAGGCCCGGTGGCCACTCCAGGCAGAGGGTTATATTAAGGAGTAGTTTATATTGATAGGAAGGCAGATACTATTAAAACTATATTATACGATTAAAATTATATTAAGTAATCGTTTATATGGATAGGAGGGGCAGATACGATTCAAATTAGACTTGAACGGATTAAGATTGCAGTGATCGGGAAAGCAACTTCATGGGAGTCGGTTCCACAGAGCAGTGGTTCGCGAGAAGAACCTGAGTTAAACCGACTTTTCACCGATGGAATACGGAGGGAATGTGGGTGGTCTGCTATAATATACGGGGCTTGTCGTGTTCTAGCCCTGAAGGTTGGAGCTGGCGAAACCAAGAAATGCAGTTCGTCCGAACACTTTCCATGGAAGCAACGATAGAGTACATCTCCACATCCCGCCTGTGAGTGAGAGATTGAACGCGGAGGGAAATAATCGTCTTAAAAAAGGGACTCTGGTACGCTTTTGAACTTTATCAAGATTGGAAAGTGAGGAGAGTGCAGCTGCCACCCGAATATGACAACGATACTCGATTATCAGATTTATCAAGGTAGCGGATAGCATGTGGAGTCAGGTACTTTCTGAAGCGGTACAGGGAGCTGATCACGTGTCTGAGCGTATCGACCTTGTTCAAACTGTTGACAACGCTTGATGATGTACTCTCACGCGCAAACAGTAGCTCAGCTTAGCTTCTGTATAAATCATAGGTGAGCTGCGTGGAGGTTGAATAACCACAAATGTGCCTGTGCAGGTCTTTGCACAGAGGCATGCTCAGAAACGATTAGCCGCTCATTGTCACACACACACACACACACACACACACACACACACACACACACATATATATATATATATATATATATATATATATATATATATATATATATATATAGGAGAAACAGCCGAAAATGCCAGTCTACCTCGCAACCTGGTTTTTGACCGTATGATCTCCTCAGACAAATGGAAAATTGTTAACAAACGAGACGGTAGCTACTCCACGTGGTTATCATCGAGCCACTGCCAACGATCCTTTCTTTCTGCTGTATAGCATCTGTTACATACTATACAGTAAATGTACTTTATAAGTGCTATATGTGCAACATACTAAACAGAATGTAGCCACATACTTTCTCCTAGACAGGTTGTTGACCTTAGATCTTTGACGGAGACACGCAGAGAAACGAGCTTCCACGAAGTGTCTTGATGCAAGTGAATGTATCTGGCCGAATTTTGTCTTGTAAATCGTTATCTTCTGTCTTGTTGATCCCTGTTCGTTTATTGTTAATAATAACTGTAGAAATCTATTCTTTTTTTATCGTCATACACCTTAAGATTGTTAACAAACGAGAATGGAGCTCCTCCATGTGGTTATTATCGAGCCACTGACAACGATCCTTTCTTTTTGCTGTATAGCATCTTCTACATACTATACACTAAATGTGCTTTAAGTGTATAAGTAGCTACATACCTTCTCCTAGACAGGTTGTTGGGAGAAAAAGAGGATTTATTAGCACGCAATAGATCCGACTGGAATTCGAACCCGGCTCTCCCATTCCTCAATCCCAGCAACTATACATTACTCCACCTGCCTCGGGGTTGTTAATCGTTAGACGAACGCATATGATAGTGGTGACAAAGCTAAAATACATCATCCTGATCGTCTTCTTTACAAACATATATAAAAATGCTGTTACCGTAAAACAATAATCTGACCACAATATGTATAGAAGGGTTAACTTGTACAAATAGATGAAAAATAGAATTGAATCTTGAGTGACCTTAGATTGGCAACATTTATAAATAAATCCAATCTGGAAAGGGATTAAGCCTCTTCTTATTGTAGGCTCACGTTTCTAATACTACCAACCCGTCAGCAAAAATCTATGAAACGGTCCCCACCACACAAAAAAAACCCGAAACAAAACAAAACAAAAAAACGTTGAATAAATTCCTGATATAAACATTAGGTTTATATTTCACATTTACTGGGTGTATTACAGACTGCTGGGATGGCTACATGCAATATTTTACAGATTTCCGCCAGTTTGCTTGTAATTTCCAAGTCTGATAATTTAAGACAAACAGGGTGATCTTTATCAAACTGTTAAAAAGTAGAATACGATTCGCGCCAGGAAATACCAAATGGTATAAAATGTATTTAATATCAAAAACAAACATTTTTTTCGAAGAGAAGTTGATCTAAGGTGACCCCCAATATGTACCGGGCTCGCCCCAGAGGATACCAAAGTACATTTTATTTCCCGTCTTAAATATCCGACATTTTTCACTGAAGATCATATTATTCAAGTATAGATTAATACCTCTTTTTAAAATATATTTCTAAATCCAGGACCTTACCACTCCTTGGAGGATCTCCACCCTGACTGACCATGTCTTCAGAGATGCGACCGTATTCACCACGCTTGGCTAATTGTGGGTTGATGAGGTTATTTAACCCACAGTTGGAAGTTTTGAATTCAGCGTTTTTCTTTCTTTTAGACCGGTTGTTATACAAAGCTCTTTTAACTTTGTGTGACGATCAGTGTAAAAGATGGAAAAAGTCTGTAGCGTTATTTACGTATACCTGGTGGTGGGGAGATGGATTTATAACTTTTTCAAATGTAATGTTAATTCTTCAATCCAAGTCGCTATCCATTACGTCTCAATCATATATGTATTTATAGCCTTATCACTATCTATATAGTTACCACACATATATTTGAATATGTCTAAGTTCTTATAAGAAAATCAATTAAATAGTAGTGTCATTATATATAGGTTTAAAGTGTACGGTAGATGTTAAATGTACACGGTTATAATGCCACTATGAAGCAAGGGGTTACAAGGAGTGAAAAAGAATGAGAAGACTTTAGTGAGGAGAAAGGACCATAAAAGCAAAAGCATCCAGAAAGACAAGATGGCGACTGGAGTTGCATTTAAACTTTTTCAAAATTATTGGCGGTAGGGAAGCAAGAAATCGGAAGAATATTCCAGAGGCTAGAAACTAAACTATTCTGCAGGTGATATTTATTGGAATTTGGGACTGGGGATAGATTGTCCAAGATGAGGACAGCAATACGAACAGTGTAAATAGTATAGATAATAACAGTAGTGGGTTCTATAGCCTTCGTTAGCTGGTCTAGGAGAAGGAAACGCTGAATTCAAAAGCGGCCCTTTTCAAGATTCTTGGAGACAGGGAGATAAAAAAGCGAAAAGGGTGTTCCACACGTGAGAAACTAAACTATTAAAATAGAACATACATTTGGCCTTTATTATTATTATACATATGATAATTACTTATACTATTTACATTGTTTGGGCTGGTGTCATCATCTTATTGACGTATTGATGACATTACGGCCGTTGTACACTCCGGCCTTCTTCTGGTGATATTGGTTGGAATTTGGAACTAAACCCTTTATTTAGTCCACGGGGATAATCCGAACAATATAAATAGTGTGTGTTAGTTTATTATTACAGTTTAAGAAGCTTTCAAGTCAAGAGTCTCGTTCTCGGTATGACGATAAACTACATCCGTCAGCAAGACCTCTGATCAGAAGGTATGGAAGAGCGTGGGACCATCTCTTAATTGTTCCCAGATGCACCCTAACTAGGCGTGGTAGCGCTTTTTAGGTTCCCAGCCATGGGTAAATATTTAACCCCCAAACTATGGTCAAAACACTAATAAAATATAAAAATACATTTTTATAGTAAAAGTATCAGCAATACATTTCCATATTAAAAAAATGTTAGCTGCAATTAATATTGTAGAACAAAAAATAAATAAATAAAAATTACCAGCAATGTGTTTGAAAAGAAAAGAAATACCAACAATGCAGTTTCATAAAAGAAATTACTAATGCTCCCAAGAAAATTAAATTCCGGTAGTAAATGACCCATAAGGAGTTGATATACCGCTAAACAAAGTTTGACTTAACATTTCAGCCGATTCAACTTACGGAGTTCTTCAGGTATATTCTTTATCTGGAATAAACAGAGAACCTCTTTTTTCAATAAAGAGTTGATATACCGCTAAACACACGAACACACAAACTGAAGAGTTGGGCTCAACATTTCAGTTGATTCATCTTACGGCCTTCTTCGGTATATATATATATATATATATATATATATATATATATATATATATATATATGTGTGTGTGTGTGTGTGTGTGTGTGAAAATGGAGAGAAAATCGTTTTTTTCCATAACGAGGTGATAATCCGCTAAACAAAGAAACAAACTAGAGCTAGACTCAACATTTCAGTTGATTCATCTTACGGCCTTTTTTCAGGTATATATATATATATATATATATATATATATATATATGGAAAAAAAGAGAAAATTTTTTTTTACATAACGAGTTGATAATCCGCTAAATTGAAGAAACAAATGCTAGATTTGGACTCAACATTTCAGTTGATTCATCTAACAGCCTTCTTCGGCTATATATATATATATATATATATATATATATATATATATATATATAAAAATAGAGAAAAACATTTTTTCCATAACGAGTTGATAATCCGCT